TACCTGCTGGGGCTGGGTGGCCCGTGCTGCTCCGAGCTGAGGCAGGATGCCTGGCTGCTGTTGGCCTTGTGGGGTGCTCTTGGAGGTGCCTGGAATGTGGGGAGGGCACAGCTCCAAATCTAGGCTCGAGTTCCAGTGCCTGTACCTCTGCCAGTGCCACCAAGCAAGGGGTCTGCCCTGCCGCTCCCTCCACCTGTGACCACCACTACAAGGACAACCACAAGCACCGCTGCTGCTCGACCCACCACCTCCACCACGAGACCTACACCAAGCAAGACCACCACGGCACTCACCACTACTCCTGCACCAACCAGCAAGGCTACCACAACACCAACCACACCCAGCCAGTCCACATCAACCAAGACCACCCCTGCGCCAACCACTGCCCAGACTGCACCAACCAAGACCACCACTGTGCAGCCAGCGACCCCCAGCACCACCACTACCACTCGGTCCTTGCCAATGAAGACCACTGCCCCACGGCCAACTACTATCACCCAGCGCCCAACTAGCCCTGCATGGGTAGTGCCGCCTACCCCACCCCTCCTGTCCAGCCCTGCACACCCCCTGACCCCAGTCCCCCATCTGTCCTGTCCTCGCACACATGTGCCCTGCCGTGACGGCACCGAGTGCGTGGCCCAGGAGTACATGTGTGATGGGGAGAAGGACTGTGCGGATGGCTCTGATGAGGATGGATGTGCCCAGCTCTGCGACACCCCAGGTAGGAGCCGTTCTTCAGTCCCCTGCGCAGCTGGGTCTCCCTGTGCCAGGGCTTCTGGCTGCTTCCTGGTGGGGTTGGTGGGATGGGGCCTTGGGAAGGTTTGAGTGTGTCCTGGGCTCTGATGCTTGTGATGTGGCATGCTGGTTTCTTCTGAGCTTGGCACTGGGCTGGAGGTGCTGCGAGTCAGAAGGGGACAACAGGGCTGGCCCCGCTGCTCACGGTGACCTAGATGTAGCTGAGCTGAGACTGCCTCAGTCGCCTTGCTCAGGACCTAGGTGCACTAGGATGCACCGACAAGGAGGGACCAAGCCCTGTTGCTGTAGTATGGGGTCATTCTAGGTTGCTAGCAGAGGGTCTGGGCATCCTGGCTGCCTACTGCAGGCTTAGCAAGGCCTCTTGTCTCCCCAGGGGCCTTCCGCTGCGCAAGCGGAACCACGTGCGTCAGGGCTAGGGAGCGCTGCGATGGGGTGCCACAGTGCCCCGACGCCTCCGATGAGACAGGCTGCTGGAGCCCGACGCAGGAGTGCGCCCTGCGCTGTGATGCTGCCACCCGCTGCGTCCCCGAGAGCTGGCTGTGTGACGGCCATGCTGACTGCCTGGACCACGCCGACGAGCAGGGCTGTGGTGAGACCCTGGGGCTGGGCAGGACAGCAGCTTCTGGGGGTTGCCTGCCCCACAGGTGGGTGTACCAGGCTTCCTGTGGGTCCAGGAGCAGGCACTGCCCCGGGGCAATCTGCCGAGCGGCTGGAGGGGCTGTACCTTGTTCAGTGCCATGCCTGTGCTGGTGGGATGGGGATGGGGACAATGGCCCCG